ACACACGTGCTCGTTAACACTTGTTTACCATAGATTTTAAATGTAGACTTGCACCCTTTCCTTAGTTTTGATGATATCTTCAATATAATACAACATCGGATCAAGGTTTCGATATATGTAGGAGACTGAGCCAGGGTTTAACTAAGGGGGGGTGAGGCTATGCTGAAGATAGCATCAGAGTTTATATAGACAAAACCCGACTCTAACTTGAATATAAAGTTCATTTAAAGACAGTAATCAAACAATTTACGTTCCAGATCCAAATCCACAGACGCATCCTAGTTGAGAAGGACATCCGCATGTACATCCACATTGAGGTTCAATGTTGTGTATTATTATGAAAACTGAAAAGGGCTCGTAATGCCATGTTGAGGGTCGATGACGCTATGCTAAAGATAACACCTGGGGCTTCATCAAGTAGATTCTGTCCTATCTTGATGATACAACCGAAATCTAGATAGTAATCGGAAAATATAAGAAAAACGAACGTATTTGCATTTGAACGATGATGCTGCGTTGGACATAACATCATCATTATGGACGAGGGGAACCTGAATGTCGTTATGCAAAGAATATCAATATTGATCGGATGCCTTGTTGACGATAACAGTACCAAAACTACAATCACACTATGTTGAATAAAACAGTACAATGAACATGAAATCATGATTCATCTTCCTGCTAGCTCGTCTGATCCATTCATAGACACAATGTTATATTCAGACTGCATTCTATATCCACATCCTAACTGAAATCAACACGAAGATCCCTACAATATCCATATCCATACCCGCATCTGCATTCCCACAAAAGTGAAATCTACATCCAGACCCCATCCAAAACCCATAGTGCCAAAGAAAATTGTCACATCACCTGGACTTGAAATTTCCCACCCATAAACTCATTGGACCACAACTTATATAAGTTAAAAAGACATGGCCTAAGAACCAGTCGAACAACCAATCCAAAACTCGTGACATTCATAAAACTTGTGGCATGAGACAAATTGCACATCCGTAAACCTTGACCAAAACTCAAACCCGGAACAAGAGACAGATGCACACATAAACTCAAACCTGGAGACAGACTAAAACCACGATCATGACCCTGACCCTGACCCTGACCCTGACCGTGACCCTAACCCAGACTCGGACCCAAACTCGATCCCAGACGCAAACTCAACCCAGAACCACGCCTTGACCCAAAATCAGACCCAAATCCAGACTCTGACCCACACTCTAACCCAGACACATTCGAAGACCGCGACCTTCAACCTGACCCAACCTGAGATGATCCACCCGGAATGCAGGCTCACGACCAAAGTAAAATGTTTTTTGAGATGACCCAAAATGTAGATGGTAACTAAAAAAAAAGAAGAAAAACAAATGTATTTGCAAACGTATACACAAGATAGACACCAAGACTAAAACCCTCACCCAGACCAAACCCAAGAACCTTACCTAATCGAAGGGCAATGGCACCACAATCATACAAGCAGACAACGATGGCAAGGGATATTGTATATCTTCGTCTCTACGCCTGTTTGTGTCTTTCTCTATCTCTATCTC